TTCCTCCCAGCGGAGGTCCCCTGCAGTGCCTAGTCAGCCTACACCCCCTAGTACACAGAGCCTCCATCAGCCGGCTGGGGGTGTCAGTGGAAGTCTATCTAGTCAGTATCATTCCGCCCCAAACTTGCCAGGTATTGGTGTATATGGTCAGGTGGCCCCCGCGTCCACCCTAGTCACTCCACAGGCCTTGAGCCAACTGTCCTCTGCTGTCTCTATTACTCAGGTACACACTAGGAAAATTTTGTATAAAATAATTATCATTTATGATTAATTATATATTTATGCTATGATCTGTCATTTTTATAGTGAAATATAAGTAAAACAGTGATAACTTATGAAAATGAATAAGTGTTAGGACATGTTTCAAATTGTATTCTATGGTGTTCCAAATGTTCTCAAATTTTAAGGATGTGCCAAATGTTATCACATATTAAGGATGTGCCAAATGTTATCACATTTTAAGGATGTGCCAAATGTTATCACATTTTAAGGATGTGCCAAATGTTATCACATTTTAAGGATGTGCCAAATGTTATCACATTTTAAGGATGTGCCAAATGTTATCACATATTAAGAGTGTTCCAAATGTGATCCCATTTCTAGACTAGGCCAGCCACAGTGTTGATATCTCCCATGGCATTTGAGCAACCAGTCAAGAAGTCCAGCCCGCCTGTGTCAGCAGGTCCAGTGGCTGCGGCCTCACAGATGTTCTCTTATACAGGTTAGAGTTACCTTTTATGTTCTGAGTGCACATGCATGCACGCATGCATGCACGCACGCACACGTTTATTCACAAGTATGCGTGCGTACACCATGGTGCCTGCTTAGCTTGATGAAACTCGTTGCTCCATGAATGCTAACTTATCTTTGTATTTGCTTAAGTTTTAATTTAGTTTAACTCTGCTTTGAAGAATGAATAGGTATTAAATTATGTGTAATTTAATGATTAATGTAGCTATCTCTAATGTGTTGGTTAAAAATTTCAGGCAATTTACTCATTTTGAATATTTTATGATTTCAAGGTTTACAATGTTCAATAGCAGAAATAGACAATAGATTATGAATAAACACATACTGGCTTGACTCCCATTGATTGTTCAGATATTTGGAATCGAGCAGATTTNTTAAGGATGTGCCAAATGTTATCACATTTTAAGGATGTGCCAAATGTTATCACATTTTAAGGATGTGCCAAATGTTATCACATTTTAAGGATGTGCCAAATGTTATCACATTTTAAGGATGTGCCAAATGTTATCACATATTAAGAGTGTTCCAAATGTGATCCCATTTCTAGACTAGGCCAGCCACAGTGTTGATATCTCCCATGGCATTTGAGCAACCAGTCAAGAAGTCCAGCCCGCCTGTGTCAGCAGGTCCAGTGGCTGCGGCCTCACAGATGTTCTCTTATACAGGTTAGAGTTACCTTTTTTTGTTCTGAGTGCACGTGCATGCACGCACGCATATGTATATACACAAGTATGTGTGCGTACACCATGGTGCCTGCTTAGCTTGGTGAAACCAGTTGCTCCATGAATGCTAACTTATCTTTGTATTTGCTTAAGTTTTAATTTAGTTTAACTCTGCTGTGAAGAATGAATAGGTATTAAATTATGTGTAATTAAATGATTAATGTAGCTATCTCCAATTTGTTGGTTACAAATTTCAGGCAATTTACTCATTTTGAATATTTCACGATTTCAAGGTTGACAGTGTTCAATAGCAGAAATAGACAATAGATATATGAATAAACACATACTGGCTTGACTCCCATTGATTGTTCAGATTTTTGGAATCGAGCAGATTTAGAAATTATACACTGAAAATATTGTAAAGGTATTTGTCAGAGCAAGGAGGGAATGTAATTTTAATCAATTAATTGTGATTTGTTCGAGTTTGGTGTGAAATTGTCTATATTAAGTTTATTAAGTTAGTAAATGTGTTTTTAATTTCAGGCGGAGGTCCAGTGTGCACCTCTTCTCCAGACCAGAGCCCCCCAGTGGCGCCCCCTGGTCCTGCTCACATTAACCCTCTGACCAGAGAACAGATGCAGCAGGCCTTGTTATATCTGATTAAGGTAGAGAAATGACGGAATGTCAAACATATTTCTACTTAGCTTTTGAAATAAAAAGGAAAATGTGCTGTATGTAATGAGTTGTCTAGAATTAAGCACAAAGTAAGAAAAATAATAATGTAAAAGCAGAATGAGGAGATTAAATAAGTCTCACTTTGAATATTGCATATGAATGTCACTAAGCTTTATTTAATTTATAACTTAAAAAAACTTTGAATGCAAATGAATATGTAGAAAGATGTGGTTTCTTGATAATGTTTTTATCCAATGATTTATAAACAATCAATATTTCAGAATGACCCTAGTTTCATGTCAGTTCTCCATGAGGCATATGTGAAAAGTTTGACAGAAAGTTTCAGCAAGAGATGAGACCAGTGCTGCCACCTGCAGAGTCCAGTAGCCATCTTTGTTTATTTGATGCACAGAAAAGGCAAAGATGATGTTGGGTCATTTTATTTAATGGTATTATGATATATATTACAAATAGATTGGACTGAATTTGTACCTTTGTCATTGCATATGTTGTAAGATTTTTTTTTAAATATTAATCACATGACATTGCACTGTAAGCAGATTTCAAGATATTACGATTGTTTGACCTTGTTTTGGGATGCCGAGAAGGAATCCCTTTATTTTGTGGTTTTTGTAACTGCAGTTGAGTAAAAAACCTGGGAACAGCTGAGGATATTTACTTTTCCAGGATTTTTCTGTAAAGTGCTTGTTTGTTTTTTTTCCCTCAATTATTATATAGCATCAGTTTGATTTTAAAAACATACCACTTAAGTATTATGTGAATGTAACAGGGTTGGAATTTGGGATCTTAAGTTTAGTAATTCACAGTTCTGTTACAGTAAAGGATACCTATTATTTGATGTTAATTTGTTCTTCATGTGATGCATATGCATTATTTATACATGTACAAAGACAGGAATGATTCAAACTCCTTACTAAACCTGCGCCAAATCATTTATTGTACTTAAGGGGGTGATAATTTCTAGCCATTTTCAGTCATTGTACATTTTGATCATTTCAAGAGTTCAAAATGCGTAGAAAATTAATACAAATAACCAGAAATAATCATTTTATTATTTTTTTTTTACCCCAGGAAGCAATGTCCCCCCTTTAAGGATTGAGATAGTATTTACATTGCACTTACGTTGGTGCCTATTTTGCAGTTGGTGGAATTAGTAAAACAAAGGCCTAGGTATTCACATATAATACTCTGCTGTTTCCTTTATCTGTAAGATATTGTTGTAAAAAATGAAGATAACCATATAGAAGAATACTGGTGCCATGACTTAATGATCAAAATACAGGATATGTCTATTGATTATTTTGCTTTCACTGCCATGGATCAGGTGATCTGATTGTGGCATGTGATTGGTTACTTGTCACATGATTTAATACTGACATATCATTGGTCCTGATGCATAATGTGACAGAATAGTGACTTTTTCTGGCTTTGCAATAAGCAGATTATTGAAGGACCAGTGGTTGCCATAAGGTGTGATGCTGAATTACTATTAAACCATGCATGTCAAGTGTCATGCTAGTTGCTTGCTATTGGCCATTGTGCAACGAGGCCTATATTGGTTATATTATTGGCCAGTCTGAGTCACATGAGCATGGACAAAATGGAATTGATCAGTATGCCATATGAAACATGCTGATTGGCCAATGTGCCTTGTGTGGTATCTTGTCATTGGTCCGTAGGAATCATGGCAAGACAAGGCTTCAATTTTGGCTGATATCTATCATATGACAATTCTGGTGAGGTATAGATTGGTTAGTGACATTCAAGCTTTGATCTTACATGTCAGCAATGAAATTTGTCGTTGCTGGAACTGATTAGTAGATCCAAACATCATTAAGGCTTTGTGATAACTTACATATTGGTTAGATCTTGTAATGTCCTAGATTTATATATGGTGAATTGTTGTCTTGTTTGTGCAACATATATTATTTTGCAGGATTGCCATAGGTCCACGTAATATGTCAGGTGACTAGAAAGTAAATTCCCATTGGTGCACAAAAGTCATGTGATATTATTTTGTTGACATGTTGTTGACTTATTATTGGTAAAGTCATGCCATGCCATGTTATTTTGTTACAAAGTAATAATCAGGTTGAGCTGAAATTAGAGTAGTTTAAAGCGTGAATAATCAGTTGGTGTTTGCTGCAATGCATACATTACACTGTGTTTCCTGTGTTGGAATTCAGTGAAAGCTGGTGAGACGTAGATCTGTAAGGGAATTTCTAAATTTCCTATATACAAGACCTAAGAGTAAGTGCATGCTTTAGACCCACTTTATACAGGTTTGATTTGCCATCTCCTCTACTGGAGGATTTAGTGTGTAGCCAGTCTAAAAAAAGTGATAGAAGTTTAGCCTGTGGATATGTGTGTTTTTGTCCAATATAAATAATGGAAGCTAATACTCGACACAAAGGGCAGCTTGCTACGTAGACCCCTACATCTCCATAGTTATAAACCTGAAATAGATCTGTTTCCATGCTTGCAGTTAGGGACTTGAAGCCTTTAGGGGTGAGGTAGTGAACATCTTCAAGGGCAGCACTTTTAGCAACTTTTAGGGTGAGAGAGGCTTACAAATCTGCATTTGTGGCAATTTAGTGTAAGTTTAAGTCTGTCTTGATTTGATTTAAACCGTAGGTAGTTTTGATTAAAGGGACAGGTATTAAACACAACTGATTCCTTTAGTTTTCTTAGTTCTATGATGTAACCACAAGTCGGCCTAAAACCATTTTCACATTAATTTATGTGTAATATCTTCAGGATAGGGCTGTACTGGTATGTTTATAAGAGATTAATGACTTCATAGCTTTGGCTGTTACATAACAAAAACACCTTTGTGGAGCCTCCACACTCTACATCCTCCACACACTCCTCACAGCCAAGGTATCCAAAGGAGGATTTTTGCACCAAAAACTAGTATGTAATCATGCCAGGGAAAATGGTATTTTTTCCAAAATTTACCAACCTTTAATCTTCCTTTCTGGACACTCACCATAACTCTTAAGCAGAGATTTTCCAGATGCTCCAGTCAAGATGGCGGACTACCTAGTCTGACAGGGGACAGTTTTGGCAATATTAAGGCCATTTATCTATCATTTTATGTTTTAAAAGTTTAACAAGATGCAATCCATGCATTTACAATATGTTTTAAATCCTTCATTGGGCACCTTTAATAAATTCCTACCTAAACAATAGAAAGCGAGCTTGTATAGAATTTGTGAAATGTGGTAAGGTCTACTGTAGTGTGATTACGTGGTAGAACCTTTCAAAACTACTGGTACAGCTGTCTGACTAAGGGCGCGCTCCCAATAAATCTCTCTGCGTAGATTGGTCCAGCTTTGGCTGAATGCTGTCAGATTTGCTGAATGACAAGCCTCCTCGAGCAGCTAGGGGGTGATTAACTTTTGTTAATTTGCTTGCAATTAGCGAGAGCCTCATGCAGAATTGGATCAATCTACCTAGAACAAAAGTTCCATTGGGAACGTGCCCTAAGATGTAATACTCTGGGTGAAAACACCTTAAAACACCTTAAAATGTTCTGACTGAGGGGAATACAGCTTGTAAAACAAAGGGTTCCATTTCACTGGGGTGGTGGGGGTCTTGATAATTCCTTTAAAATACCACAGGTTTTCTAAGGTACTGAGGGAGGGGGGGGGGTGGGGTAGAAATTAAATATTTCAATAGAGGGAAGTTTCCAAAAAACATTCTGCAAATTAGTGCAATGCAGTGCACAGTTGGAAATCTTATATTGATTTTGATCACTGCACAGGACTTTTTAGATATACAGTCAAAGATATGAGAGATTTCAGTACATCATTTTATGCTATTGTCACAGAAAATGAAACAGCACAATTTATTTAGTTTGTAGATGTGGCTAGAAAATAATTACTCTTAAATTTCAAATGCCTTGCCTTTTTCAGTTGTTCAGTTTTTGTTTCTCATTTCACTTATGTAACCACAAAAAATGCTTTTTGCAGTGAATCCAAATTATAAAACAAACTCTTCAAATTATCTTTTTCTTTTTGTTTTGGGGAAATGTTACATGTCAGTTTTGTTTTAATTAAAAGCTGAAGCTAGGTAATATTGAAAAGTTGAATTTATTTATTGTAATTGTGAGATCTCAGTTAGATTGTGCTGTTTTTATGGAACGTGTCACTTTTGTTTTGGTTAAGTATTCATATTTTTATTTATTTATTTTTCTTTTTTGCTAAGTTTTTCAGGTCATAGCTCTTTTTTTTTTTCATTTCTTCAATTTTTCTTCTCTATGTTTGTATCTTGCGTTGTTATTCTATTTATTTCTCTTTTCTCTTTCTCCCTTTTCTGTTTTTGAAGGCTGTGTATCTGACTCCTATATCTCTTCATTTGTATTGATTTAACAAGGCATTTTCAGGTTTTGGAGGGTTTCAGTTGGAGTGAGACAGAGTCTGAATTGGTGGATTTTGCTTTTTAAAGCAGATGGGGAGTTTTTTTCTCTCAGATTTTGCCATAGGTAGCCTTTGAATGCCTTTAATTAGGAAAGACAAAATGTCAAAACATCCCTGCCACTCTGGGACTTTTATTCAACCGGACCCCCTTGATGTTTTGGAACTTGATGCGAGATTGAATTCTATTTTAATCAGTTTCATCATTTAATGTATCACAACATGATCTAGTCTATTTTCTCTTCTTTGTTGCTATGGAGACAGGTACACAGCCTTCGGTGTTGAAGATCACTAATAATAATGTCCATATACTATACCATTCCACTGCAATTAATCATCGAAGATTTTATTTGACAGAGAAGTGTGTGGGTATGCGTGTGTGTGTGTGGGTGTGTGTGTGTGTTGAAAATGTATTTTTTTGGATGAAGACTGCATGGCAAGTGTGGTTGCCATAGGCCATTGTGTGTGTATGGAGGTAGTGTGTTTACTGGGCAAGTACGTCAATAGATGTGTGTGCATGTATTTGTGTGTGTGTGTGTGTGTGTGAGAGAGAGAGAGACGAGAGAGAGAGACGAGAGTTATAAGTATAGGTACAGACATTTGTGAATTATTCCTTCCAATACATGAGACTGTGATGTACTTTGATATAATGTAATATTTTGTTGTAGGTTGTTTGTGAATAGTCATTTTGAAAATGCTCATATTTGCACTTAAAAGTTTTCTTTAGTGAATCACTGATATGGCACCCACATATATTGGTAGTCAACTTCTCCTATATCATTTCTCTTACTTTGCAAATATGTAACTTAAACACAGTAGTGAAATGGTACAATAAATCTTGGATTCAGAGACTCTTGGAAATTCTTCTCTCAGCAGTATTGCCAAATAACTTTGCAGACTAAAGCTCTTATGCGAAATGGACCCCAGGAACCAGCTACTTGAAACATTAATCTAAATAATTTATGTAATAGAAGAGAATTTTCAACAGACTGAGACTGGGGGGTTTGTACCAAAGGTATAGGTAGTGAAAATTAGTTATAAGGTATATTGGTTAGTATGTGAATGCTCTTTGGGTGTATCAACACTTAGCATGTCATTTCTGAATAGGCTTGGAAATGTCGTCTTTCATGAAATACTGTCATGAACAGATGAATTTTCATACAATATGAATGCTTTGTTATTTCAGTTTTATTTCCAAGTATATGTTCATATACAGTTGTGCCTAAGACGCATTTGAAATGGAAGTCTTGATAGTAGATGCGACAAGAACCATGTTTTTGCTTTGTGTTGGGGAGCCCATATTTGCACTTGTAATTTTCTTCGTTTGTCAAGGCCCCAATTAGTAAATACTGATAAGTTTAAAGGCATTCTGTTGCAGCATATCTGAACCATTGCCATTCAGGGTGTCAAAATGGAGACCAATGCTAGAACATGTGATACCTTAGATGCCAAATCCTTATTAGTTTTACCTGTTGCATGCTATATTTATGCAGCTTTTAAGTACAAATCTACATTTCAACTTGCATTTACTGCAGAAAACAACTGCAGTCTAGAGTGACGTTTTAAGTTTATATGGTATTATGTTGTTCGTTTGAAAATTATTCTACAGTTTTCATTACCAGGACTTATTTAGATAACTCCTTAACAAAACATCAGAGTAATGCAATTTTGAAACCATATGTATCTTTTTATAAGATAAAATTGGTTTTGGATTTTTGCCAGCTGTGCAAAAAATGCATTGATTATGTTAGACTGAATTCTAGAACATTGCAGCACGGTTTAGTGTAATACTTGAAGATGCAGCATAGGTTTTAGTGGTTGAATTTTCTTCGACATTCACTTTTATTTTATTCACTTCTGTCTGTTTACAAATGTCTTACTTATATTTTTAACACTTATTTTGGTAAGGTTGACTGATTTTCTTTTAAATGTGACTTAAAGTCAAATCAGGAATTTTTGTACAATCCTTGATGTTTATTTTTGTAAAAAAAAATTAAAAAAAAAATAAATGGTGATCTTTAACACCAATAAGTGTTATGTTTTTGATCTTTAGTCGTAGTGTTTGGTAGCCATTGTTTTGCTTTAGAGTTCTGAATTTCTGTCTTTTACCGCCATGAGTGTAAAATTCACTGGAGTCTCTTCCTTCATTTCTAGTATGACCTTAATGCAGGACTTTCAGATCCATTTCCATTATTACCTAAAAAAAAAAAAAAAAAAAAAAAAAAAAAAAAGCGGGACTTGCAGATTGTAATTCTGTGAAGGATTTTGGACATGGCATAAATTGATAAGGGGAAAAAAAGAGTTGAAATCTCCAGCAAAAATCTAATTCTTGTTATAAAAAGTGCCAACGGTCATTGTGTGCCTTTCAACTACGGAGAGAATCAAATGACCATATTTGTTCATTTACTTAAGACCTTCACACAAATTCATGTCCTTAAAAATTCTAATCATTTGATTAAAACGGTAGTAAATTCAGAAAATATCCAAACAAGTGTCATATTGGCAAAAACTGGATTGAAAAAATTTTGGTTAATTCCCTGTATAAATCTGTCATGATTTTTTTTTTAACGTTTTAGCGGGAGACAGAAGACATATAATTATTGAAGATAGCAGCACTATGTTTCGGGTGCATGGGACTATTTAAATATATATGTACATTTCAAACTTTCTAAGTTTTAAAGAGGCATAATCTAGCCCACTTCTCTAGTTTTCACCCAGTAGAACTTAGCAAACACCATTGCGCGCCTCTATTTCCTCCCATTCTCTTTAAAATGATGCAGATTGCGGTAACTGTTCAGCACCTGGGAAACACTGATATGATAGCGCGTTGGTGGCAGAAGATGGACTACTGTCAAATGATAGTTATGATACAGAGGTGAGGGGAGGGGGAGGGGTCAAACACTTCCTCTTCAGGTTATTATAAGAAAACAAGTAAACTGTAACTTCATCTGGCAGTCAGAATGTAAGAAACCAAAATTTAATGTTAAATTGATGACTTGGCACCCAAGCAAATTGGCATTTCAATTACCACTATCTGCAACGTAACTTTCAATGTTTTTTTTAACATTCAACAAGTGACGATTATTTTCAAGTTTTAGTATATCACTTTGTAAAATTAGTCGGGGGGGCATGATTGTGAGTCTACAGTGTAACTGGGGCTAAATCCTCAAATCTAGCGACTGGCTACAATGACCGACGACCACGGTTTTCCCAACGCGATGGCAAGAGAAAATTCTTAATATGATCGCAAGGAACTACCATATATATTATGTACGCTATTCATCAACTCAAACAGCATATAATTTTGACACAGCTGCAGGTAGCGTGAATGTGACGACACGGGGCGCTAAAGAGTACGTCTTCTTATGGGAAGTGAGCTTCTGTTGCAGCATTAGCCTTCACCTTGACCTAGATTTCAGTGGAATGTGCAACACTTCTTCACCCTTAGCCTTCTGAATGTGATAGATGTACCATTTGGTGTTGAACAGAAGGTTTAAAAAAGAAATCGGTGTAAGTACAGCTACCTTGTTTTTAGGTTTTTTTAAAAGGAATAATGGGACTTAGTTAGGGTGCACCGTATTGTGCTTGACGAGCCGGCTAAATGATGCCCGCACCATGCTGCCGCATTTGTTCAATCTTACCTGCTGCAAAATTCCATAACAGGCATGTGTGAGGCCGAACTACTGAGGCAACACCACGCACGCTTTCCACATTAAGTTACACAGTCACATTTCACTACACTTGCAGTCGGTTCAATGGTGACTACCATTGTGTCTCAAAGTTTGGGCTACTAATACTTACAGGTTTCGGCTTTAGATGACTTTAATAAAACTTGTCGATTTAAGGGTACCTACACCATGTAGCATGTATCTCACTCAGTACCACTCTGTAAAAAGGCAGTGTGGTCTTCTTTTTGTATTAAGCTAGAAAATATGTGCATAAATGCCAGCTTTCATTTTCACAACAACACATAGCACAAAATTTGTCTTTAAGGGATACTCTCAATGTTTTGAGTGATTGGGTTCCAGAGAAAAATGAGAAAAGGGGTAAACCATCCTATGTCTCTTTGCAACTTGCAGGGGCGGATCCAGAGGTGTTTTCTGACAGTCTTCCAAATTATCTTTATTGATCCATCCTCCGTTTTTGACCGTCTCCCGACAGAAAAAATTAGATACCCGTCAATGTTAACTTAAAAATCTGACCGTCTTCCAGAAGACCCAGAAGATGGCCTAAATCCGCCCCTGACTTGTATAGCAGCCAGAATTGTCAGCTGACAACTGGTGATTATTCTGCTCTGTGCAGCAGCACAGATGCAAAGATTACTGCAAAGGAAATTGAACTTGTAGAGAAGAGCACATGAAACCGAGCTGTGTCTTAGGGAAGGCCTGAGGTGAGGTATTTGAAGCCGTTGCTTTCCCTGACTCTGTACAGCAGATCAATCTTTCATTATTTCTTTTCAGATGATCAGTTGCTGTCAGCTGTGACATTTCTATTGAAGAACAACAACAGTACTGTAGCGTGTAAGGTCAGGCATAACTGTGACAATGGTGGTGAGGACATATAAGGAAGAGTTACGCTTCTTAGAGAAGTTATCTGACTGTTGTTGGAAAATCAGAAAAGGCTTCGTGTCTAATATGAAGGTATGGCATTAATTTGAATGCTGTTGAATTAAACTCGAATAAACTTATTATGCTCTCCTGTCCATTTGCTTGTTTATTTTTCCTGACTTATTACAGCTTTGACATTGCTCTATCTACTTATCTTGAAAAGGTGTGTTAAATCCTGATATTTACACCATGTGACTTTGTATGACTGAGTAAAAAGCATATATTGTCTTCACATTTAATTACGTCATTCAGTGATAACGATTTGTTTTTAATGTACAGTTATGGCAATTGTTTTGTTAATTAAAAAAAATTAAGATATTTCACCAGGTGATGCTGAAAGAGATTATTCCTAAGTTTTGAAAACCAAACTGGGTTTATGTCAAGTTATATTTTGAACCTGTAAAAATGAGAGATATTGAAAAAATTAAATATATTTAAATTGAAAAAAAAAATGAAATGCTTGACAAAGAGACCTGTTTCTAAAACATTTGTGAGTTATGAATTCATACAACCCATGTGGTTTGAATACTGAAATTTGATGTGTCTTCTCTGTGTGAATATTTTTATATCTCTTTTCTCTAGGTGGATGGAGTATTTTACGTGAATGAACACCTAGAGAAACTTATGTTTGATGAACTGAAGGCATCATGTAACAGTCAAGGTTTTGGGGGTTTCCTACCAGGGATGAAACAAATAGCAAATGTTGCAGCTCTACCAGGCATTGTTGGGGTAAATAAAGAAGAGTGTCTCTTAACTGCAAAGAAAAAAAATAATAATAATTCATGATGATAATTATAATTTTTTGTCTAGTGTCAACCATGTCAAATTTTATTACAATATCTTGCTTAGCTATGGAGTTACATCAAAAACCTGTAACTATCTTACTCCAATTTAAAAAGCGGGGCAATTTAAGATTAATGTTTGGGGAATGGCCACACTCTAAACTGAATTAATCTAGTGGGATGGTAAATAAAGCAATAAAAAGGGGAGTTTGTGCTCTAGAAGTGCTTATTTTTATTGCAGTAAGTATTTCGCATGAAAAAAACGAATTAAAATTATCTTGCCAAATTTAGTCCTTTGTAACATAGTGATCCCCCGTAAAGAGTATGCTTTTAAGGTGGGAATGTAGGTTTGAGATTTTCTCTTAAAATAAAGGTCTTGGCTTTTTTATTCCTGTCACATTCATTTAATGTACCTTCAAAATATCTAATTATGCTTGGAACACAGCTCTAACTTCATCGTGTGACGTAATATCGGGATTTTGGGGACAAAAACACCATTTTTATACACCTGATTTTCTCAGGCACCTGGACAGCTATAAACTTGCTTTTGATGGCATTATAACACTTGAACAAAGTACTACAGCATGGAGTCAGGGATTTTTCTTCAGACACTTATTGTTGATTTTATCTATAAAAACGTGAAATTACATCAAAATATTAGGGAATTTTCACTTTCAAAGTCTATAAATTAGAAAAGAGAGGATCAATCAAAATTTCTTAAAAGGCACTTTTAGTGCATACTTTTCATAATTAGCATGGTGATTTTGGTCTCCCTCAGGTGTACAGGTAGACAGTTATAGCTTGCTCAATAACGCTATTTCGTCAATATTGAAAGCAAAGAAAACGAGCAAAAACCCTTTCAGGGAGGTTAATTGTCCAAAATAGCAAATTAAATTGTTGACAGCTTTACCTGTTATCGTTCTGACGATCGCGAAGATGGGTACTCTATTGCCGGTTGAAATTAGCTTGTTTGCATGTATTTGGATGTCAGAAAATCTTATTTTTGTATCAATCTCACCTCCTGTTAGTAACTTCAAGGGGTTACCGCTAGCACTGCCAGAATGATTGACAGGCAATCAAGTAAGCCCTAATGACTCAAGCAATCAGTGGCCACGTCAATTGCCGTCGGGGAAAGTGTTAGGGATGCGCTCTAGGATGTGCACACAATAGCAGCATCGCAGGCAGTCTTGTCCACATTCGCCAAGCGAAAAATGGTTCGAAAACACGGTCGTGTTACAGGACGCCGATCGGACCATCAACAACTAGAAATAGACGCAACCAAAAAGGTTTTGTTAGAGGAAATGTCTAAAGTTGGGTGAGCCAGGAAAAATTCTGCGATAATTGTTGAAGAAAAAAGCTGGGTCAACTCCGTTTCAAAATTATTTGACGCTTTGCAGGAAAAATCCTTCCTTTGTTTCTCTAGCTCCTTATAAATCCTGGTGTCCAGATTTTATCTAGTGCCCTCAGGGTTGCAGGAGCTGCTCTTTGAAAATAACACTCGGGTAGATTTTTACCTGAGCTAAATATCGCCAGCGAGGCTTCAGGAGAGTTGTGGGCCACTGAATCCTCCAATTAAGAGGTAAAGGAAGTTCCAGTTAGATGGACTAGATTCCAGTTAGATAAAACTTGTTAAGGTTTCAGGTATTGTTTACCTCAGTTCAATAAAAGTATGCAAGCCGGGGGGGGGGGGGCTGTACAACTGATACAGAGGATTTGTTCATACTGGTGACTTTAATAAGCAGAGGATTTCTTTATATTCCGTGAAAAATACACTAAATTTATATGAAATGATATCATGGTTGGCCAAAAATTGTACGCACAGTGCATCCGTGCGTATGCTTAGTTACGCCCATGTTAAGATTTTAAAAATCTAACAACTGCATCGAGCTGTTGTCGAAAATGGATAGAAAGTATGACGATTGTTGTCACGGGTAGCAAGCAAGGGAATTTTCTTCTTTTTTTGCGTATCTCAAAAAGTTAACAAGAAAATCGAAAGAGCGCGTGTAACAACAAGCGTATTTCGAGCAAATCCTATGTGTCGGAAAAGATTCATCTTAGCGCTGATCACAATCAAGAGTGACTATCAAAACAGCTTAAGCGGAACAATAGGCACTGCTTTGCCGATCGCTGTTTATGACAAAGGGGGCATGGCGCATCCCTGTTCTTTTGTTTCCCTAGACGTGCTGATGCTGCTAAGGGCCGCCCACCGAGTTTACCCATGCTAACGGCCCTTGACAACGAAGGCGGGGCATAGAGCAGGCCACCGGTGCCGATGTGTGCAGCATCAGAATCCTCAGAAAAAACATATTTTTTGTTCAAAATGTAAAAATTTTATTCTGTTAAACGTTAGATACACATTTAACCAATAATTAGACATAAAAAACCAAAAAATGATGATTTTTAGCTATATTTGGGTACATCCGTACCTTAATTGGCCTGGGTAGACACTCACTACTGTTTAAATGTACTGGTCAGTATTCACAGTGAATGGCTAGTTTTAATGTCCACACAGATTTAAATTGTGAATGTTTTATTACAGAAATCAGTTGGTCTTCCGGATGTACATTCTGGATACGGGTTTGCAATTGGTGAGTGAGACAGTCACTTATGTATTAAACAAGATTTGCTTAGTCTCTTGCATATGGTCTCATTTAAAAATTTATATGACTTATTAGATAAAGCATATTCATAATTGATATTATTCTAAATAATAATTAACTTGTGTTAAGCACAAAATATACATCATGTTTCAGCTATTGGTATTCAGCAGTCTCACACTTGCACTTAGCTCATAACCTTGAACCAGTTGTTGGAAATAGACTGTTTGTGTTCTAGGTAACATGGCTGCCTTTGACATGGATGACCCCAAGGCAGTTGTGTCCCCAGGGGGTGTGGGGTTTGACATTAACTGTGGGGTCAGACTATTAAGGACTAATCTCTTTGAGAAAGATGTTCTCCCCGTCAAGGAGCAGCTTGCACAGAGTTTGTTTGATCATATTCCAGTTGGAGTTGGTTCGAAAGGTGTGATACCTATGACAGCAAAGTAAGTAGAATCATGTGTTTGTGTGTGCCTTTGCATGCATTGGTGCATTCGTGCTTGCATATGTGTGTGCGAGTAAATGTGTGTGTGTGTGTTTTATCAGCACTCATTTTTTATGAAAGAAGTATTTCATACCAGAGACCAGTTAATGGCAGTAATGTTGTAATAATGCAGGATAATTATAAAGAAAATTTTGATTAAGGTTAAATGGCTGTTTGTACAAACACTTAGTCAGAAATATATGTAAGGGATTACCTTTACATAAATTTGATAGGCTTCATGCCATTTATTTAGTGTCTCTGATGCCAATGCACTCCCCCCCCCCCCCAAAAAAAAAAAAGTGATTTACATTTATTGCAGGCAATTAGAAAAAACGCTGATTAGTTGCAATCAAGCTTACAGAAGGTTTGCCAAAAGTGTCATCTAAAGAACAGATACAAGTCTTTGCACATTCATCATGTTTAATTGTCCACTATTGGTTTACTTCAGAGATCTAGAGGAGGCCTTGGAGATGGGGATGGACTGGTCACTCAGAGAGGGTAAGGGACCATTCCCACGGATATTTGGATCGACCTATCTCCCTGGGGAGTCTCACTAAATTGCGATCAACTTAACTGGCTTAAATGTCTGTCACGCTTAGTAAAGCTGTCAGGGGGTAATTATCTTTACCCTAGCTGATTCGGTAGGCATGGCAGACATTTAAGCCAGTTAAGTTGATAGTGAGACTTCTCAGGGAGTTAGACCAATCCAGATGGATCGATCTAGGCATGGGAACTCAGTCTAAGTTTTAACTTTTATATTAGGAAAAAGAAAGAATAAAGATATAGCAACCCTTTTTTGCACTTTCCCCAGTGGATGAATCTTGCTTTTGAAAGATTCAATGAACTTACTAGCTTTGAATTTCAGGTGGCCAGATTTAAACTTAAGCTACGGTTAATTGCTGCAGTTAAGTTGAAGTTCACTTAATATTGTGAATTAGTTCTCTACCCTGATTATTCTTACTGGCAGGTTATGCGTGGGCAGAGGACAAGGAACATTGTGAGGAGTATGGACGCATGCTGCAGTCTGATCCTTCCAAAGTCAGCTTCAGAGCAAAGAAGAGAGGTCTGCCACAGGTGACACATCTTTTCATGTTTACTGTATTGATGTTTCAATCTCTTTTTTAAGTCTTATTGTACAGTCTTGTTGTGTCTTATTGATCTTACATGTATAGATCATAACTGAAGCTAGTAGGATTTTTGTTTCAAATACAGTGATTATTGAAATTTTACTGATTCTTTTGTATAGTGGCTGTGCAAGAAATTCAGTACTAAGATCATATTTAGGTTGTTGACCACATATTTAAGTTGACAGCACTAAAAAAAGCACAGAATTTCATCAAGACGAAATGTAAATGATTACAAAATTTACTTAGAAAATTTCTTTGGAAACTGTATTCAGTTAAAATTATTACCACATCCCATTCTTTCTCTCCTGAATACATGTTACTGCATTTCTGTCCCAATTTCTTTTGCCATATTTTATCAAAGTATACGAAGAACTATTTTGAAACATCTTATCCACTAACAAACCAATTCCAAATCAAGATTGCTTAAAACATGGATTCTTTGCACTGGCAGATTTGACAGTCTTGTAAAGAAAGGTACCATTGTGGTTTAATGTAAGGCAGTATTTTGGACATGAATCAACTTATCATTAACTGTCACCATTTCCTACTTGCAGCTGGGCACCCTGGGGGCAGGGAACCACTACGCAGAGATACAAGTGGCTGACAAAATCTTTGACAAGTTTGCTGCCAAGAAGATGGGGATAGAGGAAGAGGGTCAGGTGTGTGTGATGATCCACAGTGGTAGTCGTGGCATGGGACACCAGGTGGCGACAGGTGAGTCAAGGGGAGACCGTGTGTGTGTGTGTGTGTGTGTGTGTGTGTGTGTAAGCATGTGTGTCTATGTACATGCGTAGGAGAGGGGCATTATGATGTCAGTACATCATGGACAGTGATATTCACCCAATAAAGCTCCCTTGTGGACTCATTTTATCACCAGAAAGCTGTTTCATGTACATTACCTAGTTATAAGGTATAGAAGTATATTATGCATTTTGAAATATGATACAAATTCACATTTTATGGTGCAATTTTGATGAAGCATAATTACAATATAATCAGCGATGGTTTTCCTATTTTTATATGTTGTTTTATTGTCATACTTCATGAAAAAAATTTTATTACAACAGATGCACTGGTTGCTATGGAGAAGGCCATGAAGCGAGATCAGATCGAGGTCAATGACCGTCAGCTGGCCTGTGCCCACATTGCCTCCCAGGAAGGCCAGGACTACTTGAAAGGAATGGCAGCTGCTGCAAACTACGCCTGGGTCAATAGGACAAGTATGACCTTTCTTACTAGACAGGTAAGTAGGGCAACTGTCAACAGGTCAACTCTGCCATAAGGTTGGCTGTCAGCAGGTCAACTGTGTTGATAGGTCAACGGTTTGTACACTGCAGGTCAATTTTGGCCTTAGGTGGCAGTAAAAAATGTTTTTAGTTTTTAGTTTGAATATTTTACTTTTAATATTCTTGACATTTTGGGAATGTGGAATTTAGAAGTGTTTATCATTGCTTCATTTCAGACATTTTTTTGATTTGTAACATTAGAACATAGAACAATCATCCACAGCAAGGTCTAAGCATTCTGTATCCCCTTCATTTGCAGGCCTTTGCCAAAATGTTCAACACCACCCCAGATGACCTGGACATGCACGTTATATATGATGTGTCTCATAACATTGCCAAAGTGGAGGAACACTGGATAGATGGGAAGCAGAAGACGTTACTGGTGCACAGGAAGGGGTCAACCAGAGCATTTCCTCCACACCATCCTCTTATCCCTGTGGACTATCAGGTTTGTTGTCGTTTTATGCTGGATCCAATTCTCCCTATCTCTCTCCTCTATTTTACAAAGGGATTCAGTCTTCTACCAAACAGAAGAAAAGACCTGTTTTAGACTGACAAAATTTATACAAGAATAACTGTAGTTGCACATTTTTAGATGATATGTAGTATTAGGGGGTGGGGGTAGGGATGCCAGTAAGGTTTTAAAAAAACACACCATTTGGATCAGGGGCCCCTTAGATCCCACCCTTCCCACTTCTTGATACCCTGGATCCTCCAGTATATTCCATCACATCTGCAGTGCAATTTCCAGTCAATTGAAAAATTGCAGCACACTTAGACATTTAGCCAAATACCTAATTTTCACTTAGAATACAGTGGCTAGTTGTTAAAAAAGTATTCTCCAGAAAGCAAACAAAATGAAAAATGAAATATTTTTATATATACAACCACCAATTTTGTACAAAACCTGAAACATGACTATTATAATTTATTCAGCCTGAAGAATTTAATCTGCATAACTGCCATTAACACAATTTTTTTTCTTCTTTTCCCCCCAGTTAACTGGTCAGCCAGTGTTAATAGGGGGCACTATGGGTACATGCAGCTATGTGTTAACGGGAACAGAACATGGCATGCAGGAAACCTTCGGATCTACTTGCCATGGGGCAGTAAGTAGAAGATGCATTCTTGCTACCTTGGTATTTCAAATTGGAACAACTCTGTTATGTAGCTCCTACATTATGTATGGGTGTCACCAAGTCACAAGACTTATATTGTGCCCATTGTGACTAAAACTAATTGTACCATGTTAAAAACCGGAGTTGGAGAATTAAAGTGAAAAATTATTTTGATGAAAAAATGTTATGAATTGATTACCGCTGGGAGATTTGTTTTAAATGTCACTGGGTTAATAGCCATAAAACGTTTTAGTGCATTTTTCAATCTCTTGGAAGAAAGACAGAATCAATGCCATATTAAAGTTTAAAGTGATGCTACTTTGAATTATAGTGGACAGTTTTAGAGAAATTAGAATAAGTTTAATGCATTTTTTATCCACTGAATGTTTGTTTATTTGGATACCTGTTTTCTCTTTGACATAATATGATACAAACTTTTTTTCTGTAGGGAAGAGCGCTTTCCCGAGCCAAATCACGACGGAATCTTGACTATACGATGGTTCTAGATGCTTTAGCCGAAAAAGGGATATCCATTCGTGTTGCCTCACCAAAACTAGTCATGGAAGAAGCACCAGAATCCTACAAAAATGTAACAGATGTTGTGGATACCTGTAAGTTAGGATGTTTTCTTTTATTTTGCTCGCAGGGGTGGGAACAAAATAATTTTTTTACCTTTTCCATAGTAACTGACATCTTAATATTTAAAACATATCCCTGAATAAGTGAAAATGTGAGTGAAATATGATTTGTTGAAGTTCTAATAATTTAGATTCAAAACTGCACATATATGTATCGGGTTTTTTTGTGTCATGGTTATTGGCCTTTAGATGATAAGACTGTCCTTAGATAATCTGAATGAAAATCACAAAAATTTGTTATATGGTGACAAAGTTATTGAAATGGGAAATAATGAAAAAAATTGAGTTTCTCATAAGGTTAATTTATGCCAAAATGGTTTAAGAAAAAAGAAAGAGGATGGAGATTCCCAACTTAAAAAGAGGATAACTAAAGATTATTTCTTTAACAGACTAATTTGAAAATGGAAAAGCAACATTTTTCAGATAATGAAAAAAACTTTAATTTATCGGTTATTCAGCATACAAATATTTTCAACTGTCTTTTTATTTTCCAGGTCATGCAGCTGGCATAAGTAAAAAATGTATTCAACTTAGGCCTATAGCAGTCATCAAGGGATGAATTAATGACAGATTTATGTGATTGACTTTTGGAGAGTTTTTCAAAAGAATGGAGTTGAAAGTCTCACTGTGCAAACTGCAGATTTTTGTTTCCATTGACCTAATAGGAATAAATAGCAATCTGCTTCATTGGGAATATTGAGCCTGTGAAAGGTGAAAACTATGTTTTCAACCAGCAATCAACTTATTATTATATATTAAGTGGACTGCTGCAGATTTATCGATGCTTTAATCATTTCCTGCTCTTCAACAAGGATGGCTGTTTTAGCTTTTTTATTTAAAGTTCAAATTCCATTAACTAAATATAAACTAATTATACTAGGAGACCTTCATTGGCCTTAATTTGTTTTTCGTTTGTAGTACAGTCATTTAAGGTCTTACTTCTTATTCGCCTCCATGTACAAATGTAGCCTACTGTGCATGTTGAGATGTAAGCATCAGATTAAGACATCTCTATGTGTTAATGAATTAATTGTCATATTATGTATTACATTTAGTCTCCACAGAATTAATTGTCATGTTGTATAATAAGTACATTTTCAGTTGCCTTAATTGTGAATGTTGCCAGGTTTTTAAATTAACACTTCCTACTTCATATTTGAACCCAAAGAAGGAGTGTTTTGAAAGGTGGTAGTTTTCACAAGCTATTAGTACTACTACAGGGACGTACGATAAAAAAAGTTTATTTGCAACTAAAAATGACTGAAGTCTAGAATACATTATTGGTCAGTACAGTCATTAAAGCATTATACAAGGATGAGAATTTCGCCACTATTGGCGTATTTCCAACTTTTTTGGAACCAAAAATATCATTGGCCTAGATTTCTGACTTTTCCACTAAATAGCAGCCACCAGAGAAGGTTTGAATGCTTCATCTTGAGGAATTTCAGGCTATTTTTCTTTTTTCTAGTTTTTTTTTTATGTTATCATTTTGTGGTTTTGTAAGACCTGGTTGGCATATTCCAGTGTACACAAAATCTAGGTCTTAAGACTGACATGCATGTAACAGTATAAGTACACTGTATGTGTTTATAAAACCTGCCTTTTTTGCATATGTTGATGTGCTCTCCCAACTGTAACATTACTGATATTTACACATCAAGGTGTTTTATGTTCTTCTCAAACAATTTTCTTTAATTTTGCTTGAATATTTAGAAAACTTTTTTTTTCAAAAGTTTAATTTATAACATCTGGGTCAAAGATCAATTTGGTGAGATATGCTGTTGCTGAAGGGAGACGTTTCTGTTTTCAAACGTTTCCATAGCAACAATAATGGTATGATCCACCATATCTGAAAGTGACCAAATCACACAAAGGAAAGCAAATAAAGCTTTATTCATAATGGTCAGGTGTGAATTCATTTCAAATTTGTGACAAAAATTATACATAAAAACGACATTAATAATTATCAAATACATGAAATATTATTTAGTAACGGATTTGTTGCATCTGGCACATTTTAAATATTTGGTATTGGTAAAAGATAATATAATGTTGGAAAACAACCGAACTGCAAATTAAACAGACAAAACATTGAGTGTGCTTTTTAAAAAAGAAAAAAAGTTTTTTTGCCTTGACGGCTCACACACCAAAGCATTTCGACCTTCTATATTCCTGTTCAAACTGTTCAGTCATAAGGCAAAAGAGTGACAAATTTTCTCTCCCCTAACAGTAGAAATAAAAAAAGGGGTTTATTTTCAAATTTGACGGGCATTGTGGAAAAACCTATGAACCATTGCCAGACCCTATTGTACTAACTGTGCATCGATCTATCTCCAAGGGGATTCTAGCTTAAGCAGCTTAAATGTCTGAAACAACCACTGAAGCTGTTAGGGGGTAATTAATTATCGTTTTGCAGCTTCAGTAGACGTGCCAGACATCTAAGCCGCTTAAGCTGAAAGCAATTAAACGAGAAACCCCTTGGAGATGGATCGATCCTGGTATCTAGGTATGGGAACCCAGTCATAGCTAGAGCTCTCAGGTTTTGCACGTCCCGATAGCTGTAATATGCTAGATTATCAGGAGTTTATGTACGAATACTGATTTTAATTCAAACAGTTGCGTAGAAATAGAACGCTATACATTTGGTGCAAACCGTAACGCTTATTCCTAAGAAAAAAGTATGCGAGGTGCGTCGTGACGTCCCTCGGTTGCATTTGGGAAGCTGTGGCACGATTTTTCATGAGAAAGACTTCGTAGCTTATACAACTGTTAATTAAAATGCAGATTATAGTAGATTCGATAATCAATTCCTTCTTCAAGCCTGGAAAAAATTTTCCTCGTTATGCTTTAGCTTTTTTCAGTTGACTAGCAGTTATATCCGTATAATATATAAGTATAATAGCATAAAAATTATATATTCAAGGGAACATTCAATCAACTACTTTTTTCTCGTGTTGTTTTTTAGAATTATTTCAACTGTTAGAATTATTCCTATATATATATATTTACGAGGCATAAAAATGGGCGTGTTCCCCACGCATCCAGCTCTAAAGACTGACGAGACTGGAAAAAGTGACGGGAGTACCCCCCCCCCCCCTTTATCCACCCAATCCTGCCCCTTGTTCCTTTAACACTATCGTTACCTTGTTCATATCCCGCATCTACTAGTATCTACTGCGAAACAGTTAACGCGGTCTGCAACATTTCGGGGAGAGACAGATCAAATATAGTCTGCTACAATGTTACAAAGTTTTAAGTCGCAAAACTGGAAAAGTTGATCAATCTTTTGCCCTTTAAAGAAATTCTCAAAATACTCTGCATTTCAGTTGTTCCAAGGGGTCCCAAATATTTTGCTGGCATCTTGATAATTCTTTTACGTGTGTTTTCCCCAAAACCGTCCTTACCCAAGAAATCGATAATCGTATGGGATTTTTATACAGGCAATTGACCTACTTTGGGCAAGTGCAGTTTTCTGGGCTATTTTACAATTTTATGACTTGGGCGTGGAAACGTGATTCACGTCTGTGATATGAAAGTTTGTTTTTCTTACAATGCCCTTAACAATAGCACGTGTCGATGAAATCTTTCAAAGTTTTTTAACATTGGTTTTAAAAGATAATGGGAATGTGTCAACAACCCAAGATCAAGAAAAAATACTGCGTTTTTCTCTTATATGCAAATTAGATTGCCTTGGGTAATAAACTGGCCGGAAGTAATGTACATATCTGTAACGAGGCTGGTGCAACCATAATCTAAATGACGCTGCAAACTAAGATGTCAGCGGGAAGGCAATCAGACTTTTGCATTTTGGGAGATTTTAAAGAGATACAAAAAAATCAGAATCACAAGTGGATTCAAAAGTTTTATTATAAAGATTTTTAATTAAGATTTAGTCTGTAAACATACAAAGCTAAAATTATCTGAATTTACAAATTTACAAAGAGAAGTGTCTGGTTTTCTTATACTTACATATACATTCACAAATGAATTAAATCCAGTGAAACATACATGTGTTTGTACTGGCCAAGGCCCCAGCCAACTAAATAGCATATTCTCACAAGAATTATTATTAGCCGTATAATATATAAGTAATAGCAAAAAAGTGAAACTACAATCAAATACCTCTTTGCATGAGATTTTTAAAAATATTTCTACTTTTAACATTTATGATTTATTCCATATACAACATACATACATACAAACCAAAAAAGTACTTTCAACACTCAGCGTGTAGTGTGCGTCAAAAGTTTTAAGTTATTAAAATATATATTTGCGTATATATACGTAAATTACATAGTGTAAATAATATATTTTTAAAATACGCTTTCATGTGAAAGGGGATGTATTTGTCCCATCAAACAATTATGTCTCCAAACATTGCTGTGTATTTTAAATTTTTTAATTCTTAGCCGAAAATTTTCTTCAAAATCTGGAACACAAACGTACCTGTCTGTTTTGCAGCTTTACATTATGGAAAAGAAAACTCTCAGAATAGTATTGTCATGTTTTTTGGACATCTCAGGGATTATTTACGGCACACACTAAAATTGTTCTTCGTAGCAAATTTTGATGGGTGAAGAAAACGGGTTATTGTGCGTTACCATCGTTTCTATTTTCAACTTCAGTACTAAGTATGATCTCCCGTACACGTGAACTATACAAATCGTTCAATTTCGGGCTTTAAGTGCCTGAAAATTACTCTGCTCTTCATAAAACAACAAGGGTGAAAAGAAAGCAGAGTTGAGCCCTAAATGACCATCTATCTAGCTAGAGACATACATGTATCTGTGAATATCTGTAAAAAATCTATCACTCGCCCTGGTAGAGGGTATGTTTAAGTTCAAGTTCACACTTTGAAAATGCCCGAATGAGCATTGTCGCCCTATTCATTCTTTTAGCATTCTTTAGCAAGAAGTTATCTCCAACTTTCAACTTCAGCAAATTTCACCAAATTAATCATACGGACATGTGTTGTATTTCCTTCCCGTTTCAGAACATAATTAGTCTCCAAGTCTCCTGTTCTCTGATATTAATAAAATTACATTCCAGATTTACATTTTTACTGTGGCCTGTTAACTGATGCTGGTCCCTGATATGTCTTTAAAATGACGCAAGTTATTATAACATATGGTCAACTTAATCATTTAGGGGATCGGAAATCTTATAGCCAAAAGCGACACTTTGCTGTTCATTTGAACATGGACAAAATTACGTTATGTCCAAGATTGGTGTATATATGTATATACACTTTCCCCTAGGAGCAAAATAAATACCCTGAGTGTCAGAGCAACGTAAAAGCTAGCTTGTTAAATATACCTTGTGATGGAGTCGCTTTTACTAGTATTTACCGGCATTGCTGATATGGGTTATAAATGAAATCAAGATCGAGCTGGCAATACCGGAATCTAGAACCTAGGGTAAAAATAAACGGCTTATCCTGAAATTCAGTCTTCTCTGTTGGGTATCAAACTCTCACTTGCTGTTAAGCTCAAGATAAGCTACAGTCCCAGGAATGAAGACGGAAGTTCTACATACTTTCAGATGTAAATTCCTGGCAACTGTGCAAGCGCCCAAGGATAGTGTATGTGATACACAAACTTAATTGCTTCCTTTTATTCAATTATCCAAGGCTCTTGGTTCCAATAAGAGTTTATTTTAGCTCAAGTTGTATTGTTTTAAAAGATTTTAGTTAGTTTACAGACGGTGCGGTCAAAATAGCCACTGTTGATACCAATTGTTTAGGACAAAAATACCAACGAACCGACGTTTTACTCACCAATTATGTCATTTAAATACTTTGGTAAAGTGTTTTAAAGCTTTAAAACCTGAAAAAATGAATTTTTTGACAATTCTTCGCTTAACTATGGTACCATGCATGTCTCCGATCGAGAGGTGCAGCATTTTTCTGGGCTTTCAGTCTAAAACAGTCTCGTTTTTCAAATCATTTTGGATAGAGCTTGCGGTTCAAGGTTACCAATACCTGACTTTTTATTAACTTAAGTACTGCATAAAGACCACAAACCTGATATACAACGAAAAGAAAAACAAAATAAATCTTCTTTCCTCTTTCCCGTATCCTCATGAGATTTTTAAACAACATTTAAGCACCTTTAGGGTTTTCACCTATCACCTAAGGGTAATCGCCTAAGGTTTCGGGGTCTGCCACCGCCCTGCCCCCTTTCCCGATACTCTTACTGATATGGAACATTTTTTTATTACCCAGACCACAGTGGTCCATCTTAGAGAATTTTAGTATAATACCGAGTATAGCCCCCAGTTCATATATATATATATATATATATATATATATATATATATATATATATATATATATATATATATAACAATGCGTTAACAAAAATGAAGGTGAAGGCAAATGTCTAATACACATACCTTTAAGATGACAACTGTATACTTTTGTATTTTAGATTTAATAATATTTATGTTGATACCTTGTAGGAAGGAAGCAGACGTTTTTCCAAACAAGGTGAGCATTTCAGACAAGGGAAGTAGTATTTTTCCTAGACAACCCTCAGCTTCGGATCTTATACATTTAATTTCTCATTTTAGATGATTGCAT